TCAGCAAGCAGACAGGGTATTACAAATAAAGAAGAGTATAAAATAGTTTGGTTACCAAAAAAGTGGGGAAACTGCCTGCTAATCAACAGCATGATGGCTACTGCCCACACCTATGCTGTCACACTGGAGCACTTCCATTTCTAGTGCAGCTCCCATTTCTTTTTGTTAAAGTGAAAGCAGTGGCTGAAAGATCCATGGCTTTTACCTCATGACAGCACACACATCTCCCGTCAGATTCCTTCTGCAGGCAGTGCTGGTCAAGTACTCTTGCGGGTTTAAGCGATAGGTGTCAATCATGAAGTTGCGGTAAGCCAGGTATCTGAAAGACAGTTGATAAGTAGTTCATGTACGTTGATGTCCAGCAAGGTTTAGAGTATGTATTTTAGGATTCACCTTCTCCAAACACCTGTATCACTGACAAGTAAACACCAACAGATAATTTTTACCGATGCAATTTAAAAATCACTATCAAAAGCAACAGGTAAGTAGAATTTATTTTTATATACTGAATATGACCTATCTCTTCCAGATTGTTTCATTCTGGATTTCATCTGTGTTTGGATTAGCAGTACATCAAAGCATGCTTAAATTGCAAATCACACAAATAGCTGCTGTGGCTTGGTCATTAACCAAACACTTGCACAACAGACTACTAGCTGCAGAAAAAAATTAATGGGTCTGGTCTTCACATGGAAACAGGCTAAAGAATCCTCGTAAATCACCTCCGTGAACCTGGAAGAAAAAAGCTACACAGGAAAACAGAAGTAGTACACTGGATGAAACGCTACTGTTTCAACACATGGACTTTTTAATGCATAAAAAGATCAGTAAGGAAAGGTTGGAGAACAGCAAAATGGAGAAAACAGGACCTTGGAAAAGCAGAAGGCAGGAACCCAGAAGCCAGCGTAGCACTCCCCGCTCACTGAGCTGGGAACAGCTAAAGCAGAAACAAGCCCTGTGAGGCTCCTGTATTTCAGTGCACAACAGTCCAAGTAGGCAGGTTTGGGGGCTCAGCCCGTTTCCTGCACTGCAGACACTGCTTCACTGTCTTTTTCAGTAAGCTTCTGGAACTTACTAATGCTTCCTAACACAAGTTGTTCAGAACAACAAAAACTACCATAAAATTATTGCTAGCCCTGTTCTTTAGACGGAACAAAACCCATCTGCCAAACACAAGTGAGTATCCTACGCAAAAATTGTGTTCAAACCAGCGTATTATAACCAGTTTCTGCCTTTGGAAAATTCAAGACGGGGATGTCTCATGCAGCGTGCAAAAGCAGCTGGTAACCAAAAATATAAATCATACAGAGATGGAACACCAATGCCTTTCACAGGCGAGGCATAAGCAGACAGATGCTGCAAGTACACACTCCTGCCAAAACCCCACACCTTCATTCTGACCAAATCATATATGAAACTTGCTGGGAAAAAGTTCTGGGACTAGGTGTTGGGCTCCTCCATGCTGAACGTTTGTAGGCAAGAAACAAAAAGGGAGCGTCTTCCATAGAGGACTATTCGGGAACTTTTTTGAATGCTCCTGGAGAGAACTGGGTTGCCACCTGCTTGACAATAGGTACTTTACAGCAGTCCTGGCTGCAGAAATTAGTTTCATATTTATTAGTTCAGGTCACATTACTAGGTGAAGAGAGAAGCCTAAGACAGAAACATCCCTAAAGTTTATCCTGAAGGGAGTCTGTTTTTGACAATGACATGACCCATCAACTAAAACTTGTCGACAGCGAGAAAGAGAAGTCAACTAGTATTTAGTTAAAATCCCTTTTAAGACAGAAACCATCCCCCAGGCACTACTGGTCACAAGAATGAACCTGTGAGAGCTTTTGAAACACGGTATTTTGTTTGGCCTTAAAACTAAGCTGGAGGCAAGACATTTCCATTCAGAAGTATGCTTCTATTTTATTTAAAAAGAAAACACAAAGCCAAGAGACCACATGCTACTCCTACAGTCCCTAAATGGTTACAGAAATACACCTCTAGGATCACATCAAGATTGGGAGGAGACCCTCATTTGCTTCACTCATGGGCAATAACCCATAGCAGCTCACAGATGAGCATCAGGAGACCTGATGTTTTGACGTCAACTGAAAAAGGAAGCATGGGACTACACGTGATGACACCAACGGCAAATAGGAAATAAGCGTTCTTTCAAAATTCAATCTGTTTGCAGCCTTACACACCAAGTCCTAGAAACCCCAAAAGAAAAACATGCTGAATAATAAAACTGATGGAGCAGAGTTACCATCAAATATGTTTTGGATCAAATACATTTTGGAATCACTATGATGCAGCTATAGTTACCTCTGCGACTCAGACATGCAGAGAAGTTGCCAATGCAGAGAAGTAAGCCAATCTCCTACTCAAACCATGGTCAACGCTGGATTTTGACCAGGTCGCTTAGGGCTTTGTCCAAGCAAGGCCTGAAAGACTCCAAGGAAGAACACTCCCAACTTCCCAGTACTGCAACTTCTTCAGAGTTAAAAATTTCCCTGATATCAAGATAGAACTTGCAGTGCTTCTGTTTGACTTGTTTTTCTCCTGCCACACACCCCAATAATGAGCCTGGCTCCATCTTCTCAGTAACCTCCTTGTGCATTGGGCAACTACTATGAGGTCTCCCAATCCTTTTCTCCTCCAGGCTAGAAAAGCTTAGTTTCTAATTTCTATCTCAATATTAGATCAGAACCCTCACAAAATGACAGTCATGCCTGAGAAGAGCAGATCCAAGCACAAGAACACTCTCTCTGAAGCCTGCCTTGTTTACCTGCCCAAAGAGCAACGCAGGATGATATTACCCCCATCATTTGCACCAAGAAGAAACCGAGAAAAAAGTTAAAGAAATGTTGTGTATGAAAAATGCACGGCTTTGCTGATGTTAAGACAATGTACTGAGCAGACACTTCATGTGCTTCATTTAAGCAGTTAATTAAAAAAGACTGGTTTAAAATCCCCAAAAGCTGCTTCGCAACTAGACCAACATTTGATACCAAGGTAAAGTGAACACAACTAGCCTAGTTCCACTGTCCAAGCCAACAAACATACAACAGTGTTCAAATTTATGATTTTTTGTGAACTCCCAGGTTTTAGGATTATAACTTTAATAGAAACAAGCACATCATTCAAAAGCCTGATGTTGACCATCTTCCTTTAATCAACCACCTTTAAAGATTGCTCTGAATAACGAAATTGACTGTTATAACAGAAAATTTGCAGAGAAGGGGAGGTGTACTTTTACTAATGCACATAACAAGCCTTGCAGCAGATTCTTGAGATAAGCATTTGATGCAAAATCAGCAGCTTATCTTGTTACACTGCTAAGTCAGATCAGAAGTTAATCATTTGATGTATGAAATATGCAATACCTCAAGACAATAATCAGCTTTTTTTTTTTTTTAATTTTAAACAGCTTCAGGGAAGCTGTTTAAGTTGTTTTATCAACTGTGTGCCTATAATTATGAATTAAGAACATTTAAGTTCTGCAGCAGATACCAGATCCCACCAGGAGATGAGATAGGTACAAACGGGATCTAAATTCAACTGAGAGGAGAACACCTCGATTTAATAGGCATGTCCAGAATTAAAATGTCACTAGAAGGTTTGGAACAGCTATATAAGAAAAAATATTTTTCCTTCTTGCAATGCACAGCTCCAGCTCTCTGGTTTAAATCAGACTACCTAATACTTGAAAACACAGTTACATCTCAGGCCTGTGAAGATTCATTTTCCAACCCTCACCTGCACTTTCAGAATTACCCATCAGCTGCTCAGGGAACCATGAAATCAACAGAGATAACTGTGCAAAATCCATTCCACAGTCTGACACAGCATCCTACAACAAACTCGGTGATCAGTGCTTACACACAAAACTCCCGAGTCTCAAAAAGATAGCATGTCATGAGAAAAGAGACAAAAATAAGGAGGATTATTAAGTTTCTACAGCATCATGAAATTGTTCAGATGTCTTTGAAAGATGGTCATGTCTCGTACCACACAAAAAAGTTTAAGAATTTGTTCCAATATTACGTGGGAGAAACTAGTTTTATTTTTCCTGGATAACCACTATTAACTATGACTTTGATATTTAAACTTTCACCTCTACTACAATAATGCACAGACATATCAAACTACAAGAAGTGGTTATACAGGTGCTCTTTCCTTCTTTCATGCCCCTACAGACAGTATCTGCTGTCACATGCACAGCTGAAGTGACCGCAGGTTTCATGAAACTGGAAGCTCTTTTACCTTGCTGAACTCTTACACGTCTATATTCGCGTGCCTTACTTACATTTCTGGAGTCTTGGACTTGTTTTTTCCATTGAAGAATTCAGGAAGAGCACGACGTTCAATCACATGAATACTGTAACAAAAATACACAATTCAGATGCCAAACACTAAATAGTGTTGGAGTACTCTGCTCACCTTCAAATGATTGTTTTGAGGGAGAACATTTCCAGCAAAGTTGACTTTTTTTTTTTAAGAAACCCTAGTATTCTAGCATGACCCTTTGAAATTAAGTATATTTTCATCAAATAAGCAAAGGTGTATTAAAAAAGCATCACAAAATTCAAGTCATTGAAGCTACGTACCCAGTGCTGCCCTAATCCGACTCTGAACAGTCCTGAGCAGCAGCCCGTTTTCAACTGCACCTTCGAGTTCTTTATTCCGACAGAAGCATCTTTCTATTCTCCAATCTAGCGAGTGTGAGCATTCAGCAAAGTCCCAATACCTCAAAGAAACCAAGCTTTCACAGTGTATACTTAGAAGATGGGAGTGCAAGCAAGTGCTTTGAGCCCAACTCCAAAGTTGGATCTACAGTAATTACTCGTGCTCACGAGTCAGGCAGGAGACGGACTGGCTTCAAGGAAGTAGCTAGTACCTCCCTGGTCAATTGGGAAAGTAAAATCCAAAGTATGGATATTTGGAGCAACTACACATTGTCTTAAAAATAATTCCTCCCCTTTGCACTCCAAGGAAGAAATACGGAGCAAAAACTGACCACGTATGGAAGAGCAGAACTAATGACACATGAGGTGCCATGCACTATATAAAATAAACTAAGGTAAAGATCACAGCAAATTCCGCTTTAGTTATTTAGCAGATACATTAATATTTTTTCCTTCCATAGCTGTACCAGCTGAAGTATCATTTAAATGTTCTTTCAGCAGAATCTTCCGTTCTGCATGTACTACCAGCCTGACAATGTCAATAGCACTGCAGAAACTTATGAAATCACGTTCTCATATTTATTCTCATATTCCCTAAATAAAGGATTGGAGGAAGCGATATGATTTATTTTAGCATAAATAAGGAAATCCGGTCCTGAAACGTTTTAATTGCAGGGCGACTGCACCCGTGGAGTTCTACCAGCAACAAATGAACAAGATCGTTTTGTGGTACCGTGGCATGTTATGTGATATATGAGAGGGTTTTCACTGCAAAGCAAAATTACAATGCAAGTAAACAGCCAGAGTATATGGAACTTGAGTAGCCAACTCAATTTTCCTTTTTTTAAGATCTCAATGTGCAAAGTCTTAGGTCCCTCAATGAATTAACCTACCTATTACTGAGGAAATAGCGTCAAGATTTAAGAATTGTCCATTTTATAAAAAGGTGTTAGAAATGCAGGGCTTGTTAGAGTAACTTAAGACAGAAGCTTGTAGAACGGCACATACCTTATGCAAATTAAAATCTGAAGAACTACAATGGTCCTTTAAGAACTGTTACTTTTAAAAGGAAACCCAGAAAAATATATCCTTTACAAATCTTCCTTCCTCCTCTATGTTCAGCTTTTCACCTACCATGTAACTGACCTTTTATGCTGATACTGCTTACTCTTAACTTGTCATTCACAGGAAAATGCTCTAACTTGAAGATGAAGGCTTGGTAGTGTAGGTTAATGGTTGGACTGGATGATCTTAAAGGCCTTTTCCAACCTAAACGATTCTATGATTCTATGAAGGTTAACCAATAAACTGTTCAGATTTCAGTACAAACAAATTATCTGGTTCTGCAGTGAAGTTGCCCAAAGCATAAGAGATTACACTGAAACTGAATGAAGCATTAAATAAAATTTATCTTTTTACTAGAAAATTAATTTTATAGAATCATAGAATCATTTAGGTTGGAAAAGCCCTTTAAGATCATCCAGTCCAACCATTAACCTACACTGCCAAGTCCACACTAAACCAACCAAGGGTAGACTAGACTGAACCATGTCCCAAAGTGCCACCTCTGCCCATGTTTTGAACGCTTCCAGGGATGGGGACTCCCCCACCTCTCTGGGCAGCCTGTTCCAATTCTTGACCACCCTTTCTGTAAAGAAGTTTTTCCTGATTTCTGACCTAAACCTCCCCTGGCACAGCTTGAGCCCATTTCCTCTCGTCCTATCGCTAACTTAGCAATGAACACTAACTTTTTGAATGAATTGCTAACTTTAGCAATGAATACTCTAAAACAGCAGTTCATAAAACATTTTGAGAGAAGTAGATTAAAAGTATTCTTCAGCTTTCTTTCTATTAGTTGCAACTGGACGCATTAAAGTAGTATTTGCAGTTTGGGAGGGCTGAAGACAGCGATTTATGTATTTACATAGCCCAAGAAGCAGCTTTCTGCCACAGCAACAGCACTAACACCTGCACTCTGAGGGGACAGTGCTGCATATATGCTCGCTAGTTCTCCAGAACTACAAATACCTATCTCCGAATGGAAAAGCAGCACACAGAGACAGAAAAATGTCAGTCTCACGGCTGTGCTGTTATTTCAGCCTTAAATCCAAATCAGCTTAACACACTGTTTCTGGAGCACTAGAATTAAAAAAAAAAAAGAAACAAACAAACAAAAAAACCCCCCTTGTTTTCACATCATCCTGCTACCTTGCAGATATCTGCTGTTCCCATCAGAGATGCTTTAAGTTTGCCTTTTACAAGGTCAGAGCAAGTACACCTGACGCAATGAGAAATGTATTCTGTTTCTTCAGAAATACCGCATTAGTCTTTGAGCTGTGCTTCACAGATGTAGCCCTCAGGAACGCCATTAGAGCTGCTGCTGCTGCTACTACAAATGCACCCATCGAGAATTTTTAACCAACCACTGCTACCAGTCATGCCCAAAAGGCACTTGTACAATAGCGTCAGAGTGATCTCGTGACAAAATGTCATTGCCATAATTTTCTCAGTAGGGAAGTCTTATTGTACCTTCACTTTACAAACAAGGAATTGAAGCCCAGAGACTAGAGGTATGCCTACCTTGGTTTAACGTAAACCTCAATTAGCTCAAGCTACACAAAGTTGCCTTTCCTGATCTACAGCAGATCCACAGTTCTTTATCCCTTTATGAAGCGCATCAGTGGAGCGTTTCATACCGCGTGTGTAACAGAACTACACCTCGAGCTTTTCCCCTCACAAAGCAACTGGAGCACCTATAAATTCAGACTATGTGACCCTTGGCTCTTCTGCTTCCAGGACCATCTCAAAGTAGGAGAACAAGGGGCTGAGAAAACGGGTGGTTCTGTTTATGGGGATTTAGGTCAGCTCAAGCCACTAGCACAGACATAGGCTAAGCAAGTGAATCAAGGTAACGAAGTCTGCCAGAGTTGGAAATTGAACCAACCCTTACACTAACAGTTCAGATCCCATCTTAATTCATTACCATAGAAAGTCAACCACTTTCGAAAGTTGCACATGAACCCCAATACTCAAGTGTCACAGCACATCTCTTTAGACTCCAGCCTAAACAATCTCTCAACTCCTAGAGCTAAGACAAAATGCATGCTCAAGTGACAGCCCTTCCAGACAACTGACTATTCCTTATTGTTTCCAAAGCAGTTTTTATTTAAAAAAACCCCACCAAGTACTACGGAAGAGTTTAACTTGTAGAGGGACTTCCATTCCCAATCACCTGCTTCTCTTCCCACACCACAAAAGTTTGAGTGTACAGAGAACATTATAGTTACTATAGCAAGTTATATGGTCATAGCACACCACAACCCATGACTCCAAGGAGGATTCCAAAATGAAACAAGTATCCTGTCTGTATAAGCAGTGACTTATCCTCAAAGTCAAGATCTGAAGCAAAATAAAAAGCCAACAGCTTTCAGAAGTAGATACAAACATAGAAAGATCATACAAGGGCTAGAGAAGTAGGGAAGAAAAAGGAATTATTTTCCCATGGGGGGAAAAAAATAAAAATCAATGTAAAGCAAAAAATGCTGAGAAGGTAGACTGAAGATCTACTCTGTTTGAAATTCTCTTCCTCATTCCCAATCCCTGAAAACTGCCAGAAATCTGCTCAGAAAGATTTTTAAATGGAAAAAGATGTAGCCATGCATGAGAACTAGACCTAAACAAAAGTAATTTCTTTTAGCTCTCAGCTTGATTTAAGAGAAACAACCGCCAAAACTCTAAGTCTTCCCCCAGTTCCAAATTAGTTTCTTACCAGTTGTAGTCAAACCAAGATGCATAGCTTGGAATAATGATGTGGTTGGTTTGTTCTGTGACGTTATCTTCACCTGGATCGATAGACCGACTTTGATCGCCTTTGTTAGGATCTTCATCTTCCTGTATTGTGGAGGGAATACAACGGTTAGTACGTTGCAAGAGACAGACCTAGTAACTCTCAGCCAGCACAAAGTCAGCCCAAATCAAGCGCTTTCCAGTCCTGTGCAGAATAAACTTAGGGGACGCAGCCTCCGGTCAGTGGGGAAAATCTCAGGGACCAGAGAAAGTGTAATCTGTGTCCATAAAAATATTAAAGAAAGCATAAGACCAGTAAGAAGTTTTCATAGAGCCAGCTCTCAAATCTCAAGGCCATACTTGGCAGTATGGTTAGAGCATGCTTTGCGTCCTCTTTATAAAATTAAGCATGCTCTAACTATGGGAGAAAACACCACATTTTAATTCTGCAGTATACTGCAACCACGTGTAATGAATACAGCGCGAATCTAGAGTACTTTGTAAGCTGTCGGCCTAGCCCTTGCTGCCATCTCCAGTTACTGACACTGCACCAATTTTAAATATCATCTAAGACAGGTTGTATTTTTTGCCACTCTTCCTCCATTAACCTTCTCACTCCTCAGAAGAGTATTACAGGAAAACAGATTCATTACTTCTAGTTGCACTGGAAGACACTTGTCAGCAGTAATAGTTTCATGTCCGCAAAACTGCATCTCATGACCCTAAATTCTTGCTTGGATAAACTCGCTTTGTTCAATCTTAAAGCTGGTCTTGGATATGTCTCTCTTGTGAAGAAGAGATACTAAGTTCCACTTGTAACTCTGCATATCCCTGTATCTGCTTCCACTCAGAGGGTGAACAGACCCACGAGTTTGGTCATAGAGGGCTGTGAAGACATCAGTGAGCAAGTAAGACTTCCAAGAAGTGGGACAAGTCTTTGGTCACTTTCTGTTGCCTCACAACAGAAGTCTCCTGTGAATTCTAGGTGTTCTGCAACTTGAGTTCCAGCACATGCCCACCTCCTGATCCAGAAAGATAAAGAGAAGGGGATGCAGGCAGTGTAAGAAGAGGGTCAGGACATGACATGAACTGTATGAGAAACCCTCAGATGCTATTTGAAGAGCCTGTGGGCAACTCAACGTTAAATGGTTTTCTTTACCTGAATTACTAATCCAGACAGCTTTCAGAGAAACAACAGACTGTTAGAAATAATTGAGTCCCTAAAGCAGGATCTTAAAGACTCATCAGTATCAATGACTTACCTTTTGGGGGACTAAATTCCCCCAAAGACAAGGTATAATTCTAAACCTATTTAGCAATCTCACAATAGCTATTCACAAAACAAGTCCTTCCTCTCATCGTCCCCTCAACTTCTAACACCCTTCTCCTCTCAAAATGCATTCACTAAACAGAGAAACAGATCACGTCCTAAAAACCCCACTGTTTAGCAGAGGTCGTATAAAAGCAAACCTCTTCCAATCTAAACATGGAACAAATACTAAGGCTGCTGCACGAGTCCCACAGTTCCAGGTCATTCTACACCCAGGGATGGAGGAGCCACACTGAAAAAAGAAAAAAAAAAAAGAGCACTTCCCACACCAGAAAGGCTGTCATGCTCCTTCTGAGCTGGTTTCCCCAACTTGGAAAACAGCAGTTGCCTGAGAATTGTATTTTGGTGATTTCTGTTCACGTGTCTGTATCTAGTACTTAAACCCACTGCTCCTTAGTGTGATACCTGCTCCTAAAACCTAAAAGAAAGGTTGCTTACTAGCTAGTCAGTGGTTTGCATACCTAGAGTTGTTGTCTTCCCCCATTTTAAAACATGAGAAAGGATTTTTGAGCACTTCTGAAAACACATATAGAGATTGGACGTATGAACTAAAATACAGTAAAACCAGAAATACGTCAGTATGGAGAGAAAGTCAGATTTTCTTAATTATGTGTATAACCAATCCAAGCGTCTGTGTCTGTGCAGGAGCACAACTGTATGAATCCAACATAGACGTGATCTTTTCTTACCTGCATGATCAGGCAGCTGTCTTACACTAGGCAAGCTGTTAAAAATAGTGCCTGGCACACCAACAATGCAATTAAATACAGAAACTACCCTGACAACTCTATTAAAATGATCAGGAAGCCTATCTGGGGTTTAGATTTAGTCTTGAAACCTAAAGAAAAAGCATAACCTTGAAAAATCTTGCACTTGAAAAATGCTTCTTTGAAAATACTTTGCATCTGCCTCCTCATTCTCATTTTTAATATACTAGATATAAAAATACAAAATAATCTCACAGCATTTGTAGAATTTTTATAATAGCAAAACAACATTCCTATTAGTGACTAATTTAATCTTAGATATGACTTGAAAAACATTACAGGTTAAGTTACTGAAGAGGAAATTAAGATCTTGATAGGACAAGGGGTAATGGTTTTAAACGAAAAGAGGGTAGATTCAGACTAGGTATAAGGAAGAAATTTTTTTTACGCTGAGGGTGATGAAACACTGGCACAGGTTCCCCAGAGAGGTGGTAGATGCCCCATCCCTGGAACTCTAGAACACCCTGGAAATGTTCAAGACCAGGCTGGCCGGGGCTCTGAGCACCCTGCTCTGGTTAAAGCTGTCCCTGTCACTGCAGGGGCTGGGCTGGGTGACCTTGAAAGGTCCCTTCCCACCCAAACCTTTCTGTGATTCCGTGATCTCAGTTTCTACCAAACTTGGTAAGAAATGGCTGCTGTTACCTTTCCTCCAGTTGCCACTGTCTCCTCATCCTGTTCATCTGAAAGGTAAAAGCATTGAGAATTACACTAATAAAAAGCATCTGATTGCTCATAAGCCTTCCTCACAATGCAACTGCTTAACTGGAAAGAATATTTCATTTGTTTTGGAAGGGAAGTGAGGAGGAAAGCAAAGTGGACCACACATCATTAAGGCAATCTCATCCTTACGCAGGCACTCAACTATCCCAGACAAGGGAATAGATAAGAACAGAGTAAGGATAATTAGAATTTTTCCACACTTAGGAATCCATAGCTAATTACTGCCTTTCCCAGTGCCCTACGTGTAGCCTTGTATAATAGGATATGGGACATTAGTTTATATCTCTTATGCCAAAGGCTTAGCAAAGCACAAGGAACCTGTGGTTCACCTTGATTCCCAGTAAGAAAATAAAAATTCTGCAAGGAAAGAGCTTATATGTCATATTTAAAAAAAAAAAGCCTACAAGGGAAAAAGTGAAAAAGAGCCAATACATTTTGACTCGAATATATATGAAAACTGAATTATTGACTCAAATATATACGAAAACTGAATTAATTCAATAAAAGAGTAGAATTAGAGATTCCTTTTAAAATTGAGATATTGAAAAATATTTACTCCGTTGGTCTGCAAGCAAGCCTTTACTATAAAACTTAGGGGAGAGGGTGCTGGAGGGTGTTGTGTGTTTGTTTTACCGAGGTCTGCTACTGTTCCTCCTTTCACAGGCGTGTTTTCACTGTCTTTCTTTGGGTTCACTACAAAAGTAAGCAAGATTGAAACTCTGATGAGTAACCCATCAGGCAAGATACAGTTTACCAAAGTCTAGCATGCTTTACTATCGTATCAATCAACAGTTTCGTTGGTCATGTCTCTGCAGTTCAAAAGAGTTCATCTGTGCAGCCCGAGTACAACAGACCATTTGTTCGGTTTCTCTGTAATTTCACATCTGAACGGAGCAGCTTCTATTCATGCAGTTAGCGGACCAAGTACTGTACTTTTTCCACCTGTACAACACATAACAATTCTTACGTGCAAACCAGGTGAAAACCAAATGGTGTGACACCCAAAATGGTTTGATGTTAAGGACTTAATAGAAGGAATTCTTTTTCTGACTTATCTTCACTTAGCAGGTATTGCATAGATCAACACTTTTCTGAAAAGGATTAAGAACGCATTTGGCACGTTGCTAGAGTTTCCACTCATATAACGTGCTTATCTCGGGTATTTGGCATACAATTATTTTCCTCCAGAAAACTCCATACGCCAAAACATTTAACTCTGTATAATGGGTGAGAACAATCCTAAAATAGGCAAAACTAAACATTTGAGTGGATTTTTGTAAATGTGTTTCAAAAAGCCAAAAGAAGGTGAATCTGCTGCCCTTCTCAGCCATCACATTCAAATCCCTGACTAGGTAAATTTAGACAGGCACAGATCACCTGGCCCCACGGCCACAAAGTATTTCAAAGATTTGACAAAATACACGTGTATTTTTTCAGTGCAGTTTAAGCAACTCTTTTAACATTCAAAGAATCCAGTGTATGCATATTTTACCATTTTTGGGAAGTACCACTTCTTCTATATTAGGTACTGGTGTGGGATCCTCCATGTCCTTTGTAAGATCTTCTTGCTCATCTTCTTCTTTCTGCCCTCTCCTTTTCCCATATAAGGCTGCTTGTCTAAAACAGATCATACACAAATTTTCTGCCAGCTGCAACTGTCAGATGTTGTCATCCTGACGTTATTCTTCAGACACCAGGATTAAAGGACTGGGTTAAAACACTTAGGAAAAACATCAGTGCTGTAGGAAGTGGTGCTGGTGGGGTTAATGAAAGATATTCTCTGTACGTTACTAAAATGAAGTTAAAAAAAAAAAAACAAAACCAACTTTGACTGGAGACCACCACTGTATATAAGCCTTGATTACATCCCAAAACTGTCTCCAGCATGTTGGCAGCACTTGCATACTCGTGAGATTCAAGGGAGCAGTGATTCACTTACATTTGTCCTTTTAAAAGTTACAATAAAGGCATCTGCTGCACAGAACAGCAGAGGCAACAGACCATTCCAAGGCATGCTGCCTTATTTACGGAAAAAGGCTGGCTTGTACGATCGATTCTGTGTCCTGAGGAAGCCATTTTGGGAACAAAGGCAGAATCACCCGCACCTCTCCTTACAGAATCTAACTCAGGCCTTACATTTGGAACAAAACAGTAATTTGGTTTATCAACTAATTCTTTCTCACCTCAGATGATAAATTTCCCATTTTGTCTTATTAGAGCCCAACAGGTCTATGAAACAAGACCTCAATTTTTAGTTCAAAAGTGCTCCCCTCCATATCCACACATAAACCCCCATAAATAAGCTTTTATTTGGACATAATACTGGCCTTTTTTTTTCTTAAAGAGACCACCTAGCATTGGAAAAAACCCTGATCTGTAGGCCACAAGTGCTACTTATGTTAAAGCTGCATTTGAGAAGTGGACTTTAAAATACCTGGCTATGCAGGTAAAAAAACTCCTCAGTTCAATGCAGTAATTTATGGGGCTATACTTCAAAAAGTGTACATGTGCTATGTGATTGCACTAACAGAACTAGTTTGAGTTGTTTTAGAAGCAGCTGAGTAACTTTTCATTTGCTAAGTTCTACTCTTGATGCAGCAATGAACCCTGCCGCTGACACAGATAACACGACAACTTGCACTAGATTCTCCTCCACCTGCAGGCAATACATTTCCACAGAGGAGTGAAGAAATTACATACACTGCACAAGCAAAATCACTCAAGTCTAGTGTAGAAATAATTTTTCTACTGTAATCTGAGACAAGTGAAATGTAACAGTCATCTCCCCATAAGCATTTGGTCAAGAAAATCTGCCTCAAATTCCAAGACTCAGACACTCACCCTTTCTTCCCTGTCTTTTTTCTCGACTCCACAGGAGTGGGGGGTGGAGAAGGAGAATGCTTTCTCTTCCTTGTACTTGCTGCTGCTTTCCTGTCTCTCCTCTCCGGGCTACGTACAGGCTGTTAGAGAAGCGAAGGAGTTAGCTCATCCCGAATACTGCAGTTATTGAAACGCTGTAGGCTACACTCTTCCTTAAGAGTGCACTACATCCCGCAAGACAAGCTAAAGCAGTAAGATCACAACGTGCACCACATTCAGCTCCGGAATACTTCTATTTGTCAACGTGAAAGCCCCTAAATTTTCTACAGCCATCCCCCAGATGCTGCAATGGCTATGTACTTAAGAACTGTGATCTCAAAACAGAGCAAGATCCAAATGCTAATGTGTGACTTGTTAAATATACTCTATCCATCAGGAGAGATTTCCTAGCGAGTAGCCTGGCCTTGAGGCTAAATGAACATGTTTTGAGTCCTAACTAACTTCCTGCATCGGGAGGGATACAAAAACTAGTTTCAACAAGTACATAGAATTCAGAAATCAAATATTAACTGATGCTGTTTAACACACCCACTGCTTCATTTATGAGAAAGCACAGAGTGGGTCCTATCTCTTACCATTCTCGGGAAGGGGAGGGGAAAAAAAAAATCAAAGCGCACACTTACACTTCTGGATAAAGGACGTATGTCAGAAGAAAGTTAAACTAGACTGTGTTATCATAGGCACCTCAAACTGTTCAACTAGCTTAATTTTAACAACTTTGAGTCCCAGAATTTTGACTTATGCAGAGATAAAGAATATTAATGTATCAACAAGTCACCCATTAAGCCATAAACCATCACCCATAAAGCCCCTACCTCTTCATTTTTCATGGAGATTCTCTGCCGAAAACTCACTGATTTTCTGTTCTCATCTACCTCATAATCCTCTTCATTCATCCATTCGTTGAATATATCTGTGTCCAAAATCCATTTGGCATGAACCTAAAGAACAGAATGATGTATTGACATGCTGACGTTTTTTGAAAAAATAATTCCACGACAGACCTCATAGGATGAGAGAAATACTGGCAGCTTTGTTATCAGGGTCTGAACATCCAAATATCTCCGAATGGTTTCACGCATAATAGATGAGTTTCATGAGGCAATACAATAAAGGACGAACATGCCCATAAGTCTACTGAATGCCATGTTTGCTCCTCAGTCATTTTTAAGTGTTCTGAAGTGTGAGGTCAGTTCTCACAGCTGAGACAACAGCTCTGTATTAAGAGCATACTTTGGATACTGAAAATTACCATCAAAATCTTCTAAATACACTGATCACCTTAGCAGGTGTGCCACAAAAGACCAAAAAAAAAAAAAGAGTTGGCCATATCTTGGCAAGATTGACTATTTTGACTTAAATATCCATCTTCAAATAAAGTTCCAGTTTACATAGCTGAAAATAAATTCTTGAGCTTTAGTATGATTTATACACAAAAAGCATGTGTTCCCGTTATTTACAGGTAACTACTTGGAATAAGCAGTGTTTGAACAGCCAGCAAGTTGTTTTCTGGCCTCAGCTGCTCTAACTCTGCTGTTCAGATCAACAGCATTCACATGGAACAACACTGCATGTTATGTATAAAAGACTAAGTCCAATAAAAGGACAATAAAGTAGTATTTACTACTGTCTTATAACTGTTCTGTACTGTTCACTTGCAATAAGCTACATCAGAAAGGCAAATCATTTCTGTAGAAAGAAAACTAATTATGTAGAGAACCTAAATAAGGCTGATATTGGTTTGAGCGCTCACATGTTCAACAGATTAAGCAGCACTGACTTCTTGCATCATTTCTACATCAGTTAAGAGCAGAGTTCCCATTAAATTGAACCTTTCCATAAAGAAAGGTGAGATATGAGCTGCAGGGATTCTTTAAACAGCTACTGGTTTTCTCATTCACGTCCATGTTGGCTCTCACTCTAGGGACAGTCACATTCATATGCTACAATACATTAGCAATGCCAAGGTTTTTAGTAAAATTAAGAAACTTAAAACTGTGCCCTGTACTAAAATCATACAGCAGCTGGTATCCACAGTGGTACTGAGCCAAGACAAACAAACTCAAGAGCTTCTGTAGCAGTGTGAAACCAGGGGACGGGGGAGCCCACGGCCACACGCAATCTGTCAACCAGACCACAGCTCTGTTTTGATCCCAAGAACTGAATCTGCTGGAAATAACATTGCCATTACAATAACTCAAAGAGAACAGACAAGATTTCAATTGTATCACAGACTTCAAAAATTCAGATTTGTTCTCCTAAAGAGGCTTCTTAATTTCCACATTATCTAACTCCTAATACTTTTGGCCATTTCTATATTACAGAAAAAGATTAACTTTCTGCACACAAAATATGTTTTAAGGCCTGTAATACATGTGTGGTAATCTCAGGTTTCTAACCTGGTAGTTCTTTCCTCTAACAATATTCTTCCAAAAACATCACAAAGATACAGTATTTTCCCCAATTCCTCTCCTTAAACATTGTATAATGCCATTATGCCTTCTAATGAGTTGGCAGGTTTCATCCCAGAGATGGCTGCACTTCAGCAGTAAGGGAAGGACTTACCTTGAACAGAAAACACCTCAAGTCAGGCCAAAATAACCATGGTAATTTTGGCACTATTAGGGATGCACAGGTCTGTCCTTTTCACTCACAACAAAGTATCTTTTCAACAGCATTTCTCCCCAGACCAAAGAAATGTTTTAGACATTTTCATTATGGCTCTAGAAATATCACATTGCTTTTCCATATATATGGAAATACAGCCATTGTTATTCAGCAGCACGTTAAAACATCTATCTGCAGATGACACAAAGTTGGGCAGGAGCGTTGATCTGCCTGAGGGACCTGGCCAGGCTGGGCCGATGGGCCGAGACCAGCTGTATGAGGTTCAACAAGGCCAAGGGCCGGGTCCTGCACTTGGGTCACAACAACCCCATGCAGCGCTGCAGGCTGGGGGAAGAGTGGCTGGAAAGCTGCCTGGCCGAAAAGGACCTGGGGGTGTTGGTCGCCAGCGGCTGAACATGAGCCAGCAGTGTGCCCAGGTGGCCAAGAAGGCCAACAGCATCCTGGCTTGTGTCAGGAATAGCGTGGCCAGCAGGAGCAGGGCAGGGATCGTCCCCCTGTGCTCGGCACTGGGGAGGCCGCACCTGGAATGCTGTGTCCAGTTTTGGGCCCCTCGGCACAAGAAGGACATTGGGGTGCTGGAGCGTGTCCAGAGAAGGGCAGCGGAGCTGGGGCAGGGTGCAACAGAGCTGGGGAAGGGTCTGGAGCACAGGTCTGGGGGGGAGCGGCTGAGGGAGCTGGGGGTGTTCAGCCTGGAGAAGAGGAGGCTGAGGGGAGACCTGATCGCTCTGCAGCTCCTGGCAGGAGGGGGCAGGGAGGGGGGTCGGGCTCTTCTCCCAAGGAACAGCGATAGGACGAGAGGAGATGGGCCCAAGCTGCATCAGGGGAGGTTCAGATTGGATAGTAGGAAGAATTTCTTCACAGAAAGGGCTGTCAAGCATTGGACCAGGCTGCCCAGAGAGGTGGTGGAGTCCCCATCCCTGGAGGGATTTAAAAGATGCGTAGACGTGGTGCTCAGGGGCATGGTTTAGTGGTGGACTTGGCAGTGCAACGTTAACGCTTGGACTCAATGATTTTAAAGGTCTTTTCCATCCTAAACAATTCTGTGATTCTATGATCTAGTAGCACCTGAGCACGAGCTATACCAATACAGTAACTTTTAGAAACTGTTTAAGAGAGACTTACCTTCCATGGCTTTTCAGGAATTGGAGGATCCTCAATTTCAGCATCTATTTCATTGGCATGAACCCAAGTGTCATAGCTAATGAGAGGAGTCAAGAGAAAACCGGGTTGGTCCCTCGGGCTGTTCATCCAGAAAGATCACCAGCGGGAATATTTATTCAGCAATTCTGACATGCGCAAATCATATTGCTGGGATTGAATAGTGAAGTGTTTTCCACACAACGAAACGTTAAAGGAGTAATCACTGGTTTCTGCTACTGGAATAGGATACACTGAAAAGGGAGGGATCCAAGGCATCTCATGCACATTTTTAACTTTCTGAAGCCAGCTCCAGCTTAAAATTGCAAATCTACTCTCTAGATTCAGGAGTATAAATACAGTTTCTGAGTCACCTCTTCAAACCCTGGCATTAAGTTAATTAACTTGTTTCTGTTCTTATGAGTTTAAAGCAAGAGATAGTGGTTCCTAGAAGAAATAAGTGTGCATCCTCTCCTTCAATCCTTATTGCTGTAGAATCCATTTATTATTTACATTCACTTTTCCACATTCCCTCAAAAGCCTATTTATAAATACTAAGAAACTGCACTCAGTAACAGCAAAAGCCCAAATACTTTGTAATCAACACCAGGCACGTACCGAGCAACTGGGATAAGTCATATGCAAGAAAAGATGCATATATAGCATTCCTCATGTTTATGCTGATATTTATAAGCACAAATACACACAGAATCAACACAAACTTGACTACTGATATAAATATAAAAATATTTAAAGGTTCTTCATCTGTATGAAGAAACAAACTTAAGCATGATTGTTGTTTGCTCTCTTCCACTGAAATACGCGTGTGGTTCCCGAGAATTCTGTGCATGCACAGCAGAGCAGATTTTAGTACCCTGAAAGAGTTATTTAAATAGAAGTCAATGCTGGGTTATCAGTCCTTTGAGTTTTCCATAACCTGGACTCAGAAACCAGTTATTACAAATACATTTAAGTTACTAACAGTACATACGCTATCTTTTAACATCTGACAACACAGGACAGCTTTCTCAAATATATGCTTTCAGCAGTCACTTGCACTTGACTAAAGGCAACCCACAGAGTGAAATCTCTCTTTGTTGAAAAAAGTTCAACTAGGTGATTAGAAGTTCTCCCTTTTGGCTTTAAAGTCTTGCAAACTTTACGGAAAGGCTCACTCTGCCGTTTGAAAGTCTGGTTCAGTTTGCAACCTCACTAGTGGCTCTGCAGAAAAACAGGCTCTGCTTTTCTGACCTCACCCACCTGCCAGTATCACAAATGGGTACGCATATTTCAGCTGTAAACCACTGCTTTAAGTCTTTTCAAGCCTTGGACATTGAGACAAATGGTAGCAATGCTAAATTACTGCGTGGTTATACTCCGTAAGACAACCGCTACTTGGCTCATAGCACAAACAGTGATGTACAACCATTCAGAAGCAAAAGAACAGGAATGCAGTACTGTATATTCAGGTGAAATTTTTAGAAGAGCCAGCGTGAGATGGGTCTGAGCCTGTCATATTCTGCAGAACAAGAAAAGAGCATAGCTATAGCCCACACAGCTGGGACATTCCCCGTGCAGGTTCCCTACTGATAGCCACAGAGCACTGCTATCAGGAGAGGTAAGACTCAGTAAGCTAAAGGAACAGCTTGTTTAAGGACATGGATTTTCCTACTTGCAGGTTTTAATCAACACTTTTCCTTCACCAAACTTAAGTAAGATTTGGGGTGTGCCTTCTTCCCCCACCTTTCTTTACCTGTCTGGAAAAAAGCCCCAGTGTACCAGCACCTGCTTGTCTTTTTTCATCACAGGTCTCAACCATTCATCTGCAAAGGGGAGAGAGATCTAGCATCAGATTCAGATTGTAAAGCACATTGAACGCTATTTTGCTTTTCCATAGTCAGTTGTAGCAAAGTTATTGCAATTGCCTCTGATAAAAGTCTACTGCAGTGAAATTACAATGGCCTGCCATAGTAATACACGTGCCTGCATGATCTGTGCCACGTCTAAACACGCGTGTGTTCTGCCTGCATACCACACGGATGTTATGTTAGTAAAATCCTATTAACGTTAAGAATTATTACATTTCCTTCCCTGGTCACGTACATTCATACCCTAACACACTCCAGATTGAGACCCAACGAGGCTTGAAACAGCCCATCTGTTTCTCAACAGAAGCAAGGGGCATTTCTGGCTGACAGGTGGGAGCACTGTCCTCTGCCAGCTCCGCTTGTCCTGCCTCATCTCCCAAAACCTTGGCCAGCTGGGCCCGGAACTTGGAATGGGACAGAGCAAATCCCCCAAAAGGACATTCAGTAAAGACAGCAGAAATAACACGGAGAGAGAGACACGCTCCAGTCTGTCACTTTTTTTTTTTTTTTGTTTAAAATCTCTGTATAACCAAAAAGACTAAACTTCTCCCAAAAGGCTTTCTTGTCAAGTGGCAAATATTTCACTTCTGTCTTTTTGTATCCTTGTTAGACATCTGAATTCCGTCATTAACCTTCTTCTACTGATTTAAATTTATTTCAAAAGACCCTCTTCCCAGTATTACTCTCAACAGGTATTTAAAAAAAAAACAATAGAGTTTTGAAGGAATAAAATTTTGAAGGAAGAATGTCAGGGCAGGGGGTGGTGGTAAAACAGATTTTAATAAAACACTTCCAAGAGTCTAACAAAACTTGCATTTCAACTTTCTTCTTTCACAGCAGTGCTAATGACGACTTCAAGTTAATACAAACTTAGTGAGCAGCACTAATACTTTGCTGGTTTTGCAATAAGGCATATGCTCAGTATGACTGGTATTTAAGTTTGGGTTTTTTTTTTTCCTTTTAAACCACACATCTGACACAATGTAATAACCTACCCCCCAAATATCGAGAATAAAGCCCAAGAGCAGGATTAAAAGAGAAAGCCTGAGGATGTGAACCTGTATGAAGTTACACTGATTGAATTCATGGCTGTTTTCTCATCTTAGTATAATCAAGGGTTAAGAAAGCTCCGTCTAGCACATCTGCATGTTCACTGACTACAAGACAGATGGGACCTACTATGCCCAAGCCTTTTCCGAGAACCTGAAGTGGTTCAAAATAAGCACAAACCCGTGGCTAGGCATGCTATAGCCAGAGGTACAGAACACAGGCAAGCACCAGAGGAGGAACAAGCCACGATCGTTCCCATACAGCAGGGAACGCTTCCATCTAGTGGCCATCACATGCCAGGGTGTAGAAGAAAAACCTAACGTACATCAATGAAGCTCAGACTCGACAATGATCCACTAGACAATTAAATGTATTTATGATAATAAAATTAAGAGGGTTTTTTTTTTTTTCCTATTTGCTGAAGGATACAGCTGTTGAATTGCTTTTATGGAACTACATATACTTCATACAGAAGCAGAACATATTATAATAAAGCCAACAATCTCCATTTATCAGGTCTACTCATTACTGCATCCACCTTGCCAAACCACATGCAGTGATATGTATCAGCATTCCCAACCTGTCACCTGGAAAGATAAGAATGTGGCAGAAAGAAATTCTCATTGACTTTAGCATCTATACTACCTTTCCTACATACAGGTCAACATTTTGACCTATACTTAGACACTGAGGGACACCAAAGAAGAAGAAAAAAAACCCCACTAATGGAAGCTTTAGTTTTAAGCCCCCTACTTTCACTATCCTTCTTTTTAATTTTTAAACTAATTTAACTGTTTTGGTGGGGGGGTTGTTTTGTTTTGTTTTTTTAAAGTCCTTCTGGACCCTTAGCTCTGCTCTCCTTCAGCCTGGAAGTTATTTGGGACAAACAAAATGTCTACCTTGCATTCAGCAACAAATAGTATCTCAATTTGCAACACAATCGCTGAAGAATATTCACTGTTACACATCTTGATCTGAAAATGTTGCATCAATTAAAAATGTGAATGTTACACTCAAGAGCTAGAAGCAGGACACACAGTGATTTTATTTGGAGTTATTAATCCTAGAAGTATTTTTCAAGCGGCTCTCTGGAACAAACTGTGTCTGTGTGAAAGCTCCCGTAACTGCTAACAGAATTTAGTTACAAGACTATTTACAGTTAAAAATTGGTAAGCAACTTTACCGTCATCCATTGAGGTAGGACTTGGATAAACATGGTGGGTAGCCTTTGACTTCTCTTCAGTTACTGTTCCCTGTGGGAAAGGTGGAAGAAAAGAAACTGCATGAGAAACCTTTGACACGTTACTCCAAACTTCTCGGCTGCTTCTTTTTACCCACGACATGCAACCTAGAAATATGCAAGGCTAACTTCAATGCAACTATGAAGAATACCACCTCTAAGAAGTGCCAGAAAAAGACAATTATTTTAAGGCTGCTGCCAAACTACTCTGTCATCTCTTGCTCTTTTCATCTCAAATCTTTCCTCCTCCTTGTTCCTTCTGCCCCAATTCTCATTGTAAATTGTTCAACTACCAGTTCATACAAAGCTATTGGTGAATATTTTGTAAGAAAGCATAACTTTTTTCCACTAAGTACATGTTTTGGTCCAAACCAATTCCTAAATACTACTATTTACGTTAAGATAAAGTCTACAAGAAACTTAACTAGAAATGGCTGCCTTGAATAGAACATCCTTAGTATTCAAGAAAGGCTGTATGTCAAGAGACAGAATAAACACCGGTTCTTTCAAAAAAAACCTCCTAAAGCATAGAACAAAGGGAATAAATCAGAAATACACCAACACAATACCATTGTGTGTCAAACATTCGAACACAAGAATACTTTTACTTCTTGCTTGTTTGGGACATCGTAACAACAGATGTACTCCCCATCCTTACGTAGATGCCACAAACAGCGGCACATAAAGCAATTTCTCTACAAATGGGTACAGGCCAGAATTATATTCCTGTTGGACCTACATCATCATGCAAAAAAATTCTACCACATAATCAGGTATCTGTTAAATAAATACGTAACACTGCTTAGTGTGGCCAGTCAAGAAAATCCTGTCCTTCCTTCACATGGAGAACCATAAGGATTCTCCCACATGCAGAGACACCTCCAGTCTCCATTTATGAAGAGCCATTTCCAAGGACAGCAGAAATTCACAGTCTGCAGACTCTTCTGCAGAGGAGTTCTGTTTTGGAACAGTTTTTATGAAAATGTTATTCAAAATTTACATTCCATAAAGACTTGACAGATTTATTTAAAGGACTTAAGAGCACATGGGATAGGTTACAGCCAACAATATGCAAACAACGTACTTGGAAGGCAGCATCAAAAGGAGGAAAACTAAAAAAGCATGAAGATGCATTGCATTACAGTAGCAACATTTGGAGGCTACGCTGGTATCGGGGGCTGAAGGGCAAGAGCTCCTACACCAATAAGAGTTCATAGAACTGGGTAAAGGGAGAGGAAGTGCTCTGAGCAACAGCAAAATAAACCTGGAAAGTAAGAAGAATTTTAAAGTACTCAAAGGCAAAGGAAAAGGCCCTGGCATGAAAGAAGAATCTGCAAAGTGTTTAAGGAACAGTTATGGAAATTCTCCCTTCATCCCCCATAAGCTAAAGATGCTCTTCTAGATATCTCATCCGAGCTTTATGAATCAGATCAGTAAGTATCATCTATTTCCTACGGAGCTTTAAAAATCCCAATACACAACAGATGAGCAGGAAATCTCTCTTAGATGCTATCTTGACTGAAAACAAAGGGATGGATAACTTTACATTAAAAGAGCTTTCTGAAAAATGTAAGCAGATTGTAAGGTTTATTCCCTGCCTCTGCTAAACTGAATGTGACTGGAATCTAAAGACATAACAAGGTGGAAGAGTTATCTACCGACAAAACACTTTCCTTGAAGCAGATAGATACAAATGCTAAATCTCACTCATTACCTGCTTTCAAGGTCCTAAATTCTTCTGGCTCTTCTCAGAGGAATCCTCAACATTTTATAAAGAATATCAGAAAAAGTGTGACTATCAGAAACAGCAACAGCATCCTCATCAGCAGAGAGAACAAGCATCTTACTGACACCTCTTTTTATAAGCCCGGAGATCACACTAGCACTGTGCTGGGGCAAGAGAGACGCAACTCTTCCACCCAGGCTGCAGTCAGAGAAGCGAGGACTTGGACACACCGGGGGGGGGAGCTACAGGTACTAGGGATGGGGTAGAGGGAAGATGAGAACAACAGGGTTTTAAAAAAAAAAAAAAGAAAAAAAAGAAAAAAAAAAGTCAAGACAGTGAGCAAGCCCAGGTAGCAACACAAATACAAGATGAGAATTCAGAGGTAGGGCATAGGAAGAAAGCCCAAAAAGCAGAATCAGGGACAACTTCTGCTTTCAGTTCTTCGCATCCCTTTAGAAACAAAGCTGCCTGCTTTAATAGTCCTTTACGTCATTCATGGATACAGCATGCTTTGAATTCACTGCAGAATTCCTTTATGAAAGGAAAATCGAACTGTTAAGTCCCATTTAAGCAATAGCAAGCATCCTGAATCAGCTGAATAATTAAGAGTAACTTGTGAAAACAACTGAAGTTGAGACGATGGTTCACAGTCACAACACAGGAAATACATTTAATCTGGAAAAGAAACAGTTTACTTTGGCTACAGCCGTGAACTATCCTAACACAAAAGGCTATCAGACCATCTAGAGTTCACATTCCAGGATATTTCTCTTAAGACAAGTGAAAGGACTGTTTACATTTTTAAGAGATGAAGCTATTAATCTTGTCCAGTTCACCACTGAGTATATTATGTTACAAGGGCAAGATGCTGACTCTTGGAAATACATGACTACCTATTAAAAAAGACCGTTGTTGCGTCCATTCCGTTCAGCAAAAGCAAGAAAAAAGTGAAATAAAGCAAAAAAGGTAGCGATCATTTTAAGATTAAAGCTTCCTTATGCTGTCCTCACATATCTAGAACAGCTGTACTACACACTACCTTCTTTGGTCTCGGATTTGGACAAACGGTGAGCTTCTGCTTTGTCTAAGCACGTACTCAACATTAAATCAGCTCGGGCCTGCAGCCAACGCACTGAGATACCGTAACTACCTTCCACTTCAATAGCAACTTCAGATTAATTTTTAGAACAGAGTTATGATTCAATCTCCATGCGAGGATAACTACTAATGACATTTTACAAATGGTGAACTTCGGGTCTTAAGTAACTTGCTGCTGCCACCTTGTGCTGTCAGACACAGTCCAGATGTAACTGATATGTTGAAGTCGGGCAAATAGATTTCATCTTCCAGCTGACAAAACATTTGTTTTAAGATATGCTATTTAACAGTTACCTGGTGACGTTTGACAATATCCTTCAATTTATTAGCCAACTTCAATTCTATATCTGGAATGAGGTAGATGGTCGGTCTGCTCAGACAATTGTTCTAGTGGAGAGAATAAGAAGTTAAACAAGAAATTAGTAGGCCACCTGTGACATAAATCAAAAAATTCCTATTAAGATCACCAATGCTTGAAAAAGCTCAGAAGGAACACGTTTCAGCTTGTGATACAGCACACGAACTCCAGCTCCAGAAACCCATAAGACAGCAAAGTTTCCTTTGCGCACCTCCCCGCCAAAGCCTCACCCAGATCTGCTGTTAGCTCTGCCAGAGACATTACCACGGACAAAGGGAACGTGACCCAGCGTAGCCGTTCTCAGGTTCTGCTTTCACAACATCATCCTTAATGGAAACCATGTATTTGATTTCAAAGAATTTTTGATGGACTCTGGAAGACTTTGCTTGAAGGGGAATTTAAGTTCCCCATCTGTCAACTTCCAAATCTGAATCTGTCCTGTTGCACTAACATGCAGATTCATGCATTTCTAAGATATTTGCAGGTATGCATTTGTTTTATTTTGGATTTTAACAGGTACTCTATTATGTACTGAAACCACCATACAATGGCAATAGTTTTTTATAAAAAGAGAATTGTTTCTTTTTGCTGTCCCTCCTATTTCCATTTTTGACAAGCACCTGAAAGTTATGTCGTGACTATGTTGTACACTGAGCTTGATTTAGAGTTTGAAAAAAAAAATATTCTGTTATTCACACACAGCAGTTAAAAAAATTAACTTCAAATTAGATTCCATACAGCTGTTATCTGCTCTCTTCTAGTAGTAACTAGTTTGATAGAGCAAGTGAGAGTCTAAAACATACCCTAACCCTGAAAAAAGTCCAACTTATATCAAGCTGAAAGTCTGGCGACTGAATAGATATGTACAGAACTACTCAATCCTAGGGGTGGTTCTTTCACAGGAAGACAAGACACTCAGGATGCTTCCTCCTACCTTACAAACAGGTTTTTCTCACCCTATGCATATCCGCAGAACATCAATGAAAAAATTCTGAAGTTTTCAAGTGATAACATGGAATTGGGGCTAAAATGGGTGGGAGAGGAAGAATGTGATATTCCCACAGAAGTCCAGGATGAAACTCTTCAGTGGGTCACAACTGAGGTAGGTAAAAAGCTAGTGAATCCCTTCCCCTGAGCTTGTGAGCGCACACGGTTTTGTATATGAGTTTCTTGCCTGGACTAGTGTTTTCTCAATGTTCATGAACATCTCCACATTTCGATCCATTCGGGATGGATTCTGCAGGTCAAACCTCCGCCTGTTAAGGAAAATTATCCAAAAATATTAAATTCAAGTCTCCTCCATTCACTAGTCAAGAATCTTTCATGTTCCACATAAAAAACAATATATCATGGTAGCTACGTAAGAACACTTAAATCACAATCACAAATATTTTTGCTTTGCTTGGCAGCCCTCACAAGCAAGAAAAATCACAGTGAACCAAATCAACAAAATGTAACTGATTTGTGAAATGTTTAAGAAAAATGAAGGTTGACATTGTCCAACAAAACCCTGTAGCAGGGTTGTACATTCCACTACAGTCACAAAGGATAATTAAACAGAAACATAATCAAATGATCACCAGGGATTTCAACAACCAGATGAGAAAATTCATGAACGAGGTCTCACGTTTCTCTTACTTCTAGCTGCACCATCCGCCAGTCCCAGATTGTAATCCAGGAAAAACAGAGCCATTTGTTTGCCCGAGATTTTCTAAACTACTTATCTATTTAAGAACAAGCCACCCCACACACAGCATACAGGTAGCTCATAATCCACGTAAGCATTTTATGATCATCTCTATTGGACTCCGGTACTTTAAAGTTTGCTACTTCATTGACAAAGTAATCACAATTCTTGAAATGACAATGCAGATTCAAGTGTGTCTCAGAAATAGGGGGGAGATAATGGAAGATCTGAGACTTTCTACTGGGAAGAGCCACAAAAGCCCCCAAAGGCGTTCTGCTGTATCCACCTGAACCGTACGCGTATTCAGAAGTCACGGATGAACCAACTCAGATGAAGAATTTGAATGGCGACCCCCAAGAACCCGAGAGGTGGGACGGGAACAGCAATACCAGTCCCTCAGCAAGTTCAGCACCCGCAGGCGTCCGCACTAGCACGCAGGCTCATCCCCACCAGCCAGGGTAAGCAGCGCTGTAGGAGCCTCTGAAACAGATTTGGGGCTGACCCTTAACCATTCAGCCTTTTCCAAAGCGCGCTGGTATGTTTAGATAATCAGGTTGTTGACTCTCAGATGTAAAACACTGTCTGGTGCGCTTTTGTACCTCCCAAGTTTTGGAAAAAGCTGTTGCTGGAGTGTGAAAATGCTCTTAACTGGAGCACTGAGTTGGTGTTCAGGAGTGGCAATACCGGCAGAAGGGATTTCAGCGTATAAAATAAAAAGCACCCTGTACACTTAAGACGGTGAAAAAGCCATGCACATCATTACCATGCAGTGACTGATACGCTTTAACACCCCAACTTAAACCACAAGAATTTATTCCTGTGCCCGTATCTAATGACAGCTTCATTTAAACATATTCTTGTTTCCAGTAACACATCAAATCAATTCGTAAAGTTTATACAATGAAAGTAAACCAAAGCAAGATTGATTTTTAGTCACAAAACCCATTACCACACAAGATGGCATCACATCAATATTACACTACTAAATTAAACAAAGACACTTTGGCTGAGCCCACCGGGTTTTTCTTCACTCGAGGCTCTCTAGCACTTTCAAAAAGAAGATGCCTACGCAGGTGGTACTGCGTAAATATGCTGGGCAGCACTAGAAACACTCATTATCAGTGAATGATGCCTTCCCTCCTAAAGCAGTATTAAGGACTCTTCCCCTCACACTAAGGACCCGGCAAACAACTTAAATATCCTGGCATTTTTATTAGAATAATCTTTCAATTTTAAATGAAGTTTATGACCTCTTTAAATAGCGTTGTGCATGTTGGAAAGTTTACGCTGACTTCTAGAAGTCGGGTCAGTCATCAAGAAGTCTGTCAGTTCACTGCACAGCACAACTTAATAATATACTTTACACCTATAATACGTAACGCTTTAAGAGCCAAGATCAAGCCACTTTTCCAATATTCACCCATGGACAGCTTCATAGTCCACATTCAAAACGTATGCTTCTCAAACATAATAGCTTCAAGGAAGCGAAGGAAGATAAACGCCAAATAAACACCAACTAACCTATTTTGCTAGGCACCTAAAAGTCTTCAGTACCTATGAAACAAAGATACTTAAGGCATTCAAGTTTGACCCAAATTTTTACGTTTGGTTGCCTAAAATCTGCGTTCCGTATTCGTTTGATGCTATACATGCCCCCATTTTTTTGCCTGCTTTTGAAACCCACACTTCAAGAGAAGCATGTCAATATATTAAGAACTAGCTTTTTTTTTTTATTATTTGCACATTTAGATAAAATAGTAGTACTAATTCTTCCTGTCCTTAGTTTAACTGATACCCTCTGACAGGTTTTAGCAAACAACTACTTGAACTGCGGTGATAGACAAGGTATGTCCAGCTGCACTGGGTAAGTGCATTTTTCAGACATACCTATTATGACGAGGAAAGGTACTTCTCCTATAAGACAGATCATTCACAAACAGGTTAAGCAAGAGCCACAATACATACCATTAAAAAAAAAAAAAAAAAAAAAATCTTATTTCAGGCAAAACACCACATATTATTTGTTTGAGTCAGTGAAGGATACATTCCAAGCTCTAAGTCTGATCCTCAGAGTTAAGTTCAAGTATTACTTCCCTCTACAGCCCACATGCACAAACGCAAGGCACTACCCACACTAGGTTTGGGGAATCAGCAAGAGAGTGAGAAGAGAGGAGGCGACCGTGTAGCTGAGTTTTGCTGACAAATTTCAATGACTGAACACTAGATTTGTTTGGAAAAAATTGGAACGTTTAAATATTCACGAAGTAGGAGCCATTTAACTCCTTAATCTTAAGGCAAAGAGGTAGCAAGACACTTCTGAAAGGTACGGCACACAACGCTACAAACACGTAGCATGCTGTGGGTGTTGGCAATATGGGAGTAGGAAAAAAAAACCTGACAGCTGTTTACTCATACCAGCTTTCTGATATATCCACCTCAGATATTCATTTAGCTGATATGAGTATAAACTACTCCTAAAAATAACAAACCGTACCAATAAAACCTTTATTTTTGCCTTTTAATTTGCTCTCGTGGGTAACACACACAGTCAATTCCAGGAACGCTGTTACAGGTCTGCGCAACATCAGATCAGAAACTGTAAAAATTCACAGACAAGAACAATCTCTGCTTCCTTTTATCTACTGACTTTTCATCCTTGGATTTTTTCCGATGTTCTCAAATATAGTTAATTCGTGCTACTGCTGTCTTGGGAAGAGGATGACAACTTAGAAAAAACACAGAGGCCACAACACTATTGGGATGTTATGTGAATAGTTTTAATACTGGTGTCGATAGCTACCTGAGCAGTGCTTCTAACTAGTGCCACTCCCCATTTATGGAGCTTGATAAGCAATGGAAAACTTAGCATTTTTTTGTATCTAAGCAATGCTTCACGTTTTCCCAGTTATAACTAAAGCCTGTACTCAATACAGTAAAAAAGATTTACATCTTATGGACGGGAAACAGCGATTCTAAGATATTGGTTAATTTGCTCAGTCATACAGCAAATAAATGGGAAAAAAAAAAGCCTCAAGCTTGTAATTAACTCCCAACCTACACACTCAAGACCTTAAACTTGGACAACTTATCTTTAAATTTAGAAGTGTGGGGGTGTGTCTTAAAAAAGCTACCATCAGCAAAACAGGAAAAAAATTTCCTCTTCCCATCTCCAACTCCCTTGCCTACCGAATTCTCCAGAAAGTATTAAACTTTAAGTAGTTTGCATAGGCATTTCATGTGCTTAATTTCATGCAAAAGGTGTATAAACCAAAAATAAAAACTTACCAGCCCTGTTCATTCTTATATTTGTAAGCAGCACCAAGAATGTGACATAATGTACCTCCAGCTTTGAAATCCATGAAGCACTTTGCCTAGAACCAGAAAGAAAAGTGAAAACAGTGACATTGACTTTTATGTAGTTATTTTAAGTTAATACATACTTGTTAGCCAAGTTTTAGACATCTAACTTATCAAACGCGTAGTTTAATTTTCAGGTGAAGCACTCTTGGAGTTTTATGTTCTCCTTTAAGAACGTTTCGAGAAGGTTAAGTGTGTTCGGTTTAAGTAGAATTCTTCATGTTCGCAAGCAGAACCTGACATATCTGAAAGCTCCGAGCCCTTCCTTACTTGAGTAGCTTGCAAAAAATTCCTTGCATAGCTGAAGACAGAAACCCAAACTGATCTTTGAACGTCCATTTCACAGTAAATTAAACCTAAAATCTTAGCTGTCAGTTGAGCAGCTCTTCATCTGTATTAATCAGACTAAACCAAACGGTTAGAAATGAACACCTAAACCCCAGGCTCCGTATTTGCTACGGCTCCTAACGCTCTCCATTACCCCCCGCCACCACAACAAAGAGTTGGTTGTCAGGAGCTGAAAAGGGCACTGTGCAGATGTGCTGGCTTTGGCTGGCGTACAGTTAATTTTTTCGCAGCAGCTCCTATGGGGCTGTGGTTGGGATTTGTGCTGGAAGCAGTGTTGCTAATGCAGGGATGGTTTAGATATCGCTGAGCAGTGCTGACACACAGCCAAGGCCTTTTCTGCTCCTCACCCCACCAGCGAGCAGGCTGGGGGGCACGAGCGTTTGGGAGGGGACACGGCCGGGACAGCTGACCCCAACTGACCCAAGGGATGTCCCGCACCGTATGGCGTCGTGCTCAGCACACAGAGCTGGGGGAAGAAGGAGGAAGGGGGAAATGTTTGGAGCACTGGTATCCCAAGTCACTGTTACGCATGATGGAGCCCAGCTTTCCTGGGGATGGTTGAACACCCATCTGCCCATGGGAAGCAGGGAATGAATTCCTTGTTTTGCTTTGCTTGCGTGCGTGGCTTTTGCTTTACCTATTAAACTGGCTTTATCTCAACCCATGAGTTTTCTCACTTTTTTACCCTTCCAAATCTCTCCCCCATCCCACCGGGGGGGAGTGAGCGAGCGGCTGGGTGGGGCTGAGTCGCCGGCTGGGGTTAACCGTTACAGCAGATCTGCCCTAAAATACTAAATCCAACTCATTTCCTCAATAGCAATTTTAGTAGAGTGCAGCCGAGTCCCATATTTGTAAGGAGGCACTCAGAATTCAAGAACTGAAATTCAGAGAACAGCCATGAGGAGACTGAAAAGCTCTGAGTCCCACCAAGTCCATTCTCTAAAAGGTTACTAAAGAAGCAGGACTTTCCTACACAGAAAGGTACATTTTTCTGACAAATTTTAGTTTGGAATTATCTTTGCTCTTTTACTAGTACCTCTGGTCAGGATGTTTGTATGTGCTTGGAAAAAGTAATCTACTGTCAGTCATCTTAGAAACAGAAGACAACTGGATAGCTCGGGTAAAGCCAGGACTAGACAAATGCAACACTAGAACCTACCTGAAGCATGATTCAGAGTATTGACACACAGTGTATCTGATGTCCTCTCTTTTTTTAAAATATATTTATAAAAAAATACATATA